ATTGGTTCATTGATGCATCATATATTTCACAACTATCAAGAAAAGCGGAAGATCCGAAACCAACACTGACAAGAACTTTGCCCGAACTGAGTACGTTTGCGGTATGATCATAACGAGCTGTTGCCATGCTTGTAGCAGAGTTCCATTGGTTCATTGATGCATCATATATTTCACAACTAGCAAGAGTATTGAACGATACATTCACACCACCAGTGACAAGAACTTTGCCGGAATTAAGCAGGGTTGCAGTATGATATAGACGTGCTTCTCCCATGCTTGCAGCAGGGTTCCATTGGCCTTAAAGAGAAATCGTTATAGCAGGTATTAGCATTCTAAGTGTAGTGCTTTAAACTAACCTCTATTCGTTACTTGTATTTCAAGTATCGTGATATAGAGCAGTCTTTATTTCAAAGATTTCTACTGTCAGTTGAAGAGTTGTAAAAATTTTCAGGATGCAGCTTGCACTACTCGGTCATTTTTAGCGAAATTCAATGCAGGGGTTATACGCAAAACCCTCAAGATCCTAAACAGTTAGTTTGTTTAAGAAACGGAAATTACCGGCTGGGGTGACTGTCGTTGAGATTGTCGTTTCCGTGATTGTTATTTGGGTTTCTAAACGACAAGTTCAGAACGTTCAGCAAAGGAAAAGAACACAATGTATATTAAGTATACAAAATCGAGTGATTTCAATATTTTATGTGCTTTTAAAACGTTATGTAACATTTTTATATGTTTGTTGATGATTCCAGTTATCGATCGAATGCTTACATGTTTTTAATAAAGCGTTTATTGTTAATATTGTACCTCGTATCGTAAACATGTAATGCTGAGCTCTGCCTATTTTTTCAGGAGTAAAAACACACAATAGAGATAACTGAAAGCCTAAAGCTAGTCTATGATGTGCTCAAACTGAGTTGCAGCTCCTATTCGCTTCTTCGTTATGAAGAAATGGTTTGTTTGTGCACTTTGTACTAATACTCATCGAAAACTAAAGTGGCCGGGTTTATCTTTTCAAATATAATATTTGATAGAAAAACTATGACAGACTGTGATTTTGGCTGTTTTATTGGGATTTTGCTGCATATTATTTTACGAAGAAGATCTGATCGAGTTTAACTTCTTAGATAGATTTTTAGAACATCCTCAGTCTTTACATATAAAGACAAAATTGTGAACAACGACAGTCACACATAACGATGAAAACTCACCCGTTTGATATAAACTGCCTGTATAACCAGATGTGCATGTGCAAGTATTAGATGCTTAAAACAAATTTTTAAAACTATTATATGCTTGTTTGAAAATGTCAATAGCGCTACCTGAACACATGCCACCATTTTGACAAGAATTTGTGCAAACAGCTAATAAGAAAAAGTAACCAATTATTCGACAGCATGATCATGGAAAAATATACTTAGGTGTAATCGACGGTGCGAAGAAAAGAGTTTGCAAATTGTGTGAGACGTTCTTACTTGTCGAAGTTTGGGTTGTTCCAACGCTAGTTGCAAACACTGTTGGTTGACTTGTGGTAATAGTGATCGGCGCAGTCGATATCCGATTCGCTAGATAAAATTATTTAGAGGAAGGGGGAAACGGTGAGATAAAAAAAAAAGTCTGTTAAACCGCATTGCCGACTTCTGAACCAATCAAACTTGTTTTTGTTGGAAAGAGCAAAGTCTGAACTACAAATTTTGTGCCAGACATATTTTTCCAGAACAAATCTGAGAAGGAGGAAAAGTCAAAAACGAAACACCTCTGAAAAAGTCCTTGCAACTTCGCTATGGAGCAACATCATTTTCTATTTTTTTATTAGTTTTTTTATCAG